TATAAATAAAATTGACTTGACCATTACATAGTTTGTCCACCAGAGAGCACTGACAAAATGCATAAGTATGTATCTAAGCGATCTGTATCAAAATAGATGTTTTAAGTGATGTGTTATTAGTTAAAAAAATATATAGATTTTTAATTTTTATTATTATTTTATTTGGTATTAATCAGGCCTAGATTATTTCTATAATCTGGTGTAATGACAGTGCTGGATGAAGTGATTTAACCCTCTGTAATTATTTTTCAGATATTGCACAGAAGGCAAACGCACCTTTGGCAGTCGGTTCTTACTGGACAAACATATTCGGCTCCATCACAGAACCACAGATGGACAGGTGAGTCAAAACCGTTCATTGTGTCTCATTAACAGGCTCGGGTCTGAGTTGTATTCTAAAGCCCCAACTCCATAGTAATTCTGTTTTGGGTACGTAGTGTTCAAACTGGGAAACTGACTAAATTAAGTTAACTTAAAAAGAATGTATGTATGCTAAAAAATGCTGTTGATACACTATTGTCCCACAATGCAATGCAAATAGGAACTGGAAAGATGCTCAAAGCTGGAAAAATAAGAATAAAATGCAGGTGATGATGCATATCACCTGCCAGTTTAAATAGTATATTAATATGGGCATATTGTATCTAGTATTTTGTATAATTTGTGTGTTTGTTTGGTTTTGGTTGCACAGGCTATATAATTTTAAATTGTTTTTGTTATTAATTAGATGTAGTATGGAACTGGGGTTCGGCAATAGTGTTCACAAAGATATAAATTCCCCCATATAAAAGTTTAGTTTCTTTCCCTTTTTGTTTCCTCAGGGTCCCCCCATGACCAGGAAGCGTGCAGCCACAGGGGGTGAAGGACCAGGTAGCTCCTCAGAACAAGACGGCGAGGGCGGACCTCCTGGAGGCAGGACAGGAGACGAGGAAGAAAACGCCACAGAGGATGGCGAGGATGGGGCAGGTCCTGCAAAGAGAACCAGGGGGTCCATTGCATCCACATCGCTGGCGCCAAACGAGCTGGAAGAGGAAGACAACATCTTCCGTTGCGTCCCCTGCGGCTTCTCCACCGAGGACGGCGCGGAGTTTCAGCGCCACATCCCCCAGCATCGGGCCGACACCGCCTCCTTCCAGTGCCTGCAGTGCGGCGTCTGCTTCGCGTCAGCCGGCTCTCTCAGCAGGCACCGCTTTATCACTCACCGCGTGCGGGACACACAGAGCGACGCAGACCGCGGCACCCCGCGCGCTCAAGGCTCTCCCGACGGCTCGCCCGCCGGCTCCCCTCAGGCGCTGGGTGAGGACGGAGACGGTAATCTGAGCTGTAAGGTGTGCGGTCGGCGTTTCGACAAGGCCTCAGACCTCAACACCCACTTCAGGACCCACGGCATGGCCTTCCTCACCGCACACAAGACAGACAAGCCCCAGTAGACGGGGGGGAGGGAGTCCTCTAAGACTGACAGATCGTCTACATGAGGAGTCGTGACGGAGGCGAGAGGCTGTAGAATATGAATGTTGATCCTGAGATGAAACAGAGCTGCTTACTGGGCAGTTTTTTTAGTCACCATAAACAGTTTTAATCTATCTATGGCACCTCTTCTGTGCAATTGTAATTGCATGTTTGATCATGTTACTGGTCACTTAACTAAACACACCTGTGATAGACTCTTGAGTAAAGAGTGGAAAGGCTCCTGAACAGCGCCCCCGCCCCGAGTAAAGCATTTATATATTAGCCATACTGTCTAATACGTCTTGTCCTTCCATTTTACTCTCACTCTGCACTGACTGTAGCCACTTGCCTGTTTTGTCATCTAACACACTTAAATACATACACCTCCCACTGTACTCCTGACAGCTGTAGTGCCGATATTTTTGTACTTCGCATTGTTCACGGTATTCATGCTCATTTTCCCCCGGCATTAGGTCAGTTTTAACAGCTCCTGAGGCTGGCAAAACTGACCTCAAGCCAAGATCTCAAGACGTCTGAAGCATGAAGGGGAGTGTTTGGAGAATTTGACACTGATTTTTATGTTGCTATGATATTTATTTATACGAAACACATTACTGCTGTTGGTATGTGTGCGAGACGGTCGCGTCAAATCTTACCAGACGTGGTGCGATTGACCCGCAGCAGAGACACGAGGCGAGAATCTCTGAAAGCATTTCATTAGGAGACGAGGTTACTGGAGGGCTGTAACCTGTGTAGTGTGAATAATGTGTGATGTTGTTAATCGTTAAGCTAGAAGAAGAGGAGAGGTCAGGCTTCCTGCCAGTAGTATATGTGTACGAGTTTTGCCATGTAAATACATATAGTTACACTAAAAGAAAGCGTTTGGTTTTAGTAACTTGCTATGATAATGTGAATACGTATAGTATTTGTACTTGTACTGTTCCCTTTTTTTCCAAACAATTTCAAGTTTAAAAGAAAAAGAATTCCCCCCAGAGGTAGCTATACATTGTAATTACAAAGCGGAGGGAGCGCGTGGGGGTTGTGTTGTCTTAATGTGTATGAATACAAATGTTTATCTCTTTGAGACGGTTCTTTTTTATCTACAGAATCAGTGCTTGCTGTATTCACATTTCTTTTGTATGTTTCAAAAACAGCCTCCATGGCCTATGAGTGGATTTTTTTTGTTTGTATCTTTTATATGTCATGATATCATATTTATATAGCTCAGTAGTGGAAACTTCATGTCATTTTCTTTTCCATGGTTGTGGTCTGCTTGCTGAAAATGCCATACACTTTTTGTGCTGTTTCGAAAATAAATGTGTAAAAGAGACGGTTGATTGGTGCAGTGGGTTCATCTGCAGAGTTCAAGGTCACGTTAAGAACTGTGTCTACAGCTTCGGTTTACAAAGTCCTCTGTTCATATTGCACTCACCTAGAATTTATATCATTAACAAGACTGTGAGGCTGTACGTAGGCACAGTGGTGGTGAAATGCTAACATCCTCGCAATCACAAACCTAAGATTCTGCAAGCATATGGTCATAAATCATAGTATTGGACAAATTAAAAGTTTGGCTAGAAGAAATGTCAGGGAATAACCAAAGTCATTAGAATTCATCCTGGGGATTCATTAAATAGTTGTTGAGACATTTCACTCAAAACCACAAATGTCAACTTGAAAACTTTGACCTGCTGGTGGCGCTAGAGGAAAAGCCAGGAGAGTCACCAAAGTCAGTACGATTCATGCTTTATAAACAAGTTTTGTGCAATCAGAATCAATCTACTTATTCCAATAAATCAGTCTCAGACATTAAAACACAGACAGCTTCAGTGGGTATCACACATTCACACTTAAATAGCATTTTCTGTATACATGACTCGTAGTTCACCACTACATTTTACTACTGGGTTTTTCACAGTCTTGCTCCACCCCCTCCAGCTCCAGCCCCGTCTTGCCCTCAGTGGCCTCCTGACATGAGGCCTGGAGCTCCGGCGGACTGCCAGGATGGTGGACTTCAATCATCAGCTCATAAATCAGTGTTCCCAACAGCGCCCCGACACAGGGAGCCACTATGGGCACCCACCACCAACCACCTCCAGCCCTGCAAAGACAGTGGGGTTACATACAATCAGAAATGGAAATTACATCATTTAAAGATCCCCTCCAGATATGTATTAAGATGTGTACAAATACACAAATAGTCTGCTTGGAACAATGATGTGTGTCTGATCATTTCCACTTTAACATCCTTAAAAAGGCATCTCCTACTTCTATAATTAATCATTAAAAATGACACAATCTATGAATATGAAAATTTTGTTCATTCTTTAAGTTTTCCTGTGGGACGTAAGATGTCTCCTACTTCACTGTAAAGCCAATTCTCAGTGTATGTGCACTGGTGGCTTCAGGTTTCAACATCACACGTGTGTAAGTTGCATACTGGACCAAAGTTGACTTCCAAACTATTTGTGGTGTCATAAATCATGCTCATAGAAACTTGTGAATGTGAAAACATCCTTTTAGTTGTAAACTCTGCACATATATCATTCTGCACAGTAAAGCTCAAACATCCAACTGGAGGAACAAGGAGAAAAAAAAGATTTGCTGCTTGAGGGCTTTAAATACTGAAACCACTAACTTGAAAACATTGACTCCCCAGCCACCGATGTACGTGAACAACCGAGGTCCTAAATCCCTGGCCGGGTTAAGTGCGTAGCCGCTGTTGGCGCCCATCGAGATGCCAATAACAAGCACAGCTGCTCCCACCAGTACAGGATGAAGACCATCAGGGATGGAGCTGTTCCTCTGGTCCCCAAGAGCCAGGACACACAGCAGCAGTGCAGCTGTGCCTATCACCTGGAAAACATGTGAATTGTTAAGTAAAACTTCACTGGACTGAAAAAAAAGTTACATTTCCTGGTTGAAAAAACAAAAAGCTGACCTGGTCCACGACACCTCCCCACACACTGAGGTAGTCAGCTGGGTAGGTGGAGAATATGCCTGCTGTGGCAGTGGGGCCCGTCACCGTCAGCTCACCTCCGCTGTACGCCTGAATGGCATCTGCAAACATTGCATCACACACACAATCTACATACGTTGATCTTTTTATGAGATAGTGCCATCCTTATCCAGTAATATGAACTGTCCTATAGTAGTCCTATAGTACATTTCTTGTACTTCTAGTGTTCTATTACAGATAGTGTGATGTGATCATTGTTGAAAACTCACCATAGTGCTGCAGGCCAACAGTGGCTGCAGCCAGAAAGGCCCCAAACACTTGGAAGAAGATGTAGAAAGGTAGCTTTATCCAGGGATGTCTGCCCAAAACGCACAAGCTCAGAGATACAGCTGGGTTCAGATGGGCACCTTATGGATGAAAATAATAAAGAGTGTAAGTCTGTAATTTAACATTTCATGGATGATATATTCTTTTGTCACCTAGACATATAATCTACTGTCAAGAAGTTTTGACCTGCACTATTAGTAAAGGTAATATTTTTATATATGATATAGGCAAAGTTAAACTGTTTGAGGGGCAGAGGTGAAAAAAATATGTGATGCATTTATGATAACAACTTAGTCAGGATCAGGAATTCACAAAGTTTTGTCCACTGGAGGTCCACTGGAGGGTATCATGTTTTATCTACCAGGGGGCAACTGAAAGGGCACTTTTACTGTGTTCTTTTCCAAACATGAGACCCTCACCTGAGACTCCACGAGACACAAACACCCCAAATGTTACCCCCAGAGCAAAACCCAGATTGATTGACAGGTACTGCCCCTTCTTATCTTGAGTTGTAGTCACTTGGGCAACAGAGCCACATCCAAACAGCTGCAATTACATGAAACGAAGAGCTGTATTAGTAGAATATAACAACCTGGAAGCAAACATAAAGGGTAGAGAGCAGTAAAACAAAAAATCTGAAACAATATGCATGAGTTTACAATGTGTTTTTTAGTTACAGTATTCCAGATGTGATGAAACTGAATGAAACACTGTTACCTTGGAATAATATTTTTTTATGAACGTCATTAAAAAAGAAACCTGCTTTATGGTTTGGGTTGTAAATGTTCATTGCTCTGACAGGTAAGATAAACAAACAAACTCCAAATCACTGATGTGCAAAACTTACACTACCCATTCTCACCCATCCTCACCCATCCTCCCCCTCATTCACTCACTCACTCACTCACTGGCACTCTGTTTTATTCTTTCTGTCTTTGTTTCAGGCCAAAGTCCTTTGGTTATCCATTGTGTGGACTCACCAGCTGCTCCAAGAACAAGAGAGTAAGCATGTAATCATTTTAGGAAACTGTTAAATACTTGCTGCTTGAGTTTACTGATTAAGTATGAATTTGGATGAACCGGTGGAGGAGAAAATCATTGTTTTCTGTAGTTTACGTCTTATTCAATTAAATGCAAAAGCTGTGTCTAATCCATTTAAGCATTTTAAATATTCAAGCACATTTAAAAAGGGAGCACTTTGACAAATGGATGCATTAGAAAATGATCCACATGTGGTACTTCTAAACCAAAGTGCCTCTTGCAACTAACTTTAGTTTAGATCCATAAAAGAAATACACTTACAATCAGGACGTAGACTCCAAGGCATTCAGCCAAGCACTCCCTGACCAGTTGGTTTCTGATCTGACATTTCCTCAGCAGCCTCTCCATCCCTGAGATTTCCTCTGCACTGTCCGGCCACAGGTGAGCTCTCAGAGCCGGGACATGAGGTCGGTTTGACTGCACTGTCTGACCTGCTGAGCAGAGTTTGCCCTTTCATACTGGAGCTGTAGGCTACGTCACACACTTTATGGCATTGCTGAGGTGGTGGTGTGTGTGCATGCAGGAGGGGAGAGTAGTTCACTTTGTAGGACATCCTGATACCGAAATCACGGCTGACATGATGAAAAACACTGACTGGCTCACTCTGTAGGTTTGCTGTGATTTCACTTGATTGGAATTGGCTCTGATTGTTCCTCTCGTTTGATTGGTTGTTACATCTCTTCTTCTCTTCTTCTCTGAATGCAAACATGATCTGTGTGTCCAAGAAATCCAAACAAAATGTTTATATTTTTTCACAATCTGTATAAATGTACACAGCATAATATAGCTGATAAGAGATGAAATCTCTTTGTCAGTAATACGTCCTGAACAGTCCTGAGAGACAGATAAGTGACAGAGCTTGAATTGTAGATTTTACACTACTTATAGAATAAAATAACAATCTTTTAAAGTATTAGTGTAATACAAGACAGTCAGAGTGTAGTATAGTGTAATCACATCTTCCATAAGATATTTCATCTCTATTTTATGCTCCTAAAGCCTCGGCAGCTGACAAAGTCACTGGTTTCCTGTGGAGATAACCTTTCCTTCAGAAAGGGAAAAAACAGAGGAGGAATGAAAAGGGAAGCTAGACTAGATCTGATTTCAAAGGGTGTGAATATGTTATACGTGCATCCAATGGCATGGGACCACTTTTTAATAAATAAAGTTGCTTAAATGTTCTTTATGTAGTTTCTATTTGGGTATTTTGAACCTTTGTTTTATGCAACATTGATAAGATTGTTGAGACAGATTTGTTTTGTTCAGCCACTATCAGGACTCTGTTATCCATAATGAGATTTAGATACAGTGTGCATATCAAAAAGCTATTGCTATTGACCTGTAAGGCCTCGGATCAGTAACAAGATGACAATCTATAAAGTTATAACGGAGAAGATAAGTTTAGACCGCAGGGATGGATCATCTTAGCCTTATAAAACATGCAAAAATGGGTCCACACAGGAAACACAAACCCTGTACATTATTTAAACTGAAGGATACCAGAGTGAACAACATCCTGTGTAGTGGCTGTGAAAATGGTTTGCAACGACAGTTCACTCTGTGTACAGTGTACAGCTCATCTTTCAAAGACAAACTCCACCGTACTTTTATCTCCACCCCTCTCGTGAATGCAGATGTGTCAGAACATGAGAAGTAACCAGAACACTGAGACCTTTTGATATTTCCCACATGAAAGAGCATGTTGTTTTAACAAATGTTTTAGTTAAACATGAATTATCTTTCTTTCTGTATCAAAGACATCATTGCTGAAGCACTGAAACCACAAACCTGAATCCAGGTCATATCTATTAATATATACCATTACTGAGGAGGACTGAGAAAGTGGAGAAGAAGAAGAAGAGGGATGATGAAGGTGGAATAAGCCAAATAACACGGGGAGATGAATAGATTGCAGTCATCCATATATTGCGCCTGATAAGGATCAGAACATGCTTTTAGAGGTTAAGACTGTTATCAGCCTGGCAAAAACCACATGCCACACAAAGGCACTTCAAGAACCGAAAAGACTTTTTACTGTCAGCTTATCTTTCACTTCAGTTCACTGGCATCTAATGTTGGAAATTCCCTCCAGCACAATAACAATATAATAGTTAACAGTAAACTTGGATATAAAATGTTTAAACCAACTTGTCGAATGTCCTCCTGCTTATTAGGTACACACTTTACAGCTGCTCTGTCCAAACCAGTTTGTTTACTCAATGCAAGGAGGCCTTTAATATCCAGGAGGGCACTGAATAATAACAGAATGATGTTAGTGTGAAAGATAAAAGCTACGGGTGGAGAAAATACACCAATGTCCCTTCCAGTTAATGCAGTTAATTCACACACATTTTAGTTTTGGCTAGAAATAAACAAAAGGATACAAAAATAGCACAAATTTTAATTTGAGTTTTTGCATACACAAAAAAAAAACTGAAATACAAAAACAGGATAGGTAGGGTAAGCATTCATGCAGACTCAGTATATATCTAGAAACCCTCCTTTTTAAAGAAATATCTCTTCTTTAGAGTGTAACGGTCGCTAGCTCGTGAAACCAGAGGGTTAACTTAGTTTGTACAATAAATAATAAAATACTAGAGTATTGGATATCTGTTTGCAAATGATGTTAAAGTGACACTATGTAACTTTGGCTAAACAGCAGCCACTAATAATAATTGATTGAAACTGATCTAAAGTTTGCTAACATTAGCCACCACAAGCTAATGGTCATAACAGACCTAGCAGGGTTGTAGCAGCAAAACCTCTAAATGTATCGAGTACAATGTGTTTTTATTACTTTTTCAACCTTTTCTTTTAAGATGGTGCATTCATTTCAAGAGTTAGTCTTCTTTTAAATAGGTAAAAAACGAACAAACACAAAAAACCAACTATGTAAATATATTAAGACTCTCTCTCTTTATTTGACATATCACACACTCACATTCATACAAACGTATCCTACAGAGAATTCAAAAAATAAAATATGGAATTGTGAACTGTTTAGTGAGGGATGTGTCTCAAACTGTCAGAATCACGAGTCTTTCGGGATTGGCAGTTTATAGTCTACAGGTACGTGGTCAGTAGGAAACTCTGGTGTTACTTTAAAAACAGCCCAGAAACGATAATCCAACACATTCATTTTGGCAATTGTAGGTCATGCAAGTGTTCTGTCCACATTATGTATATATCCTACAAATATGCAAACTCACAGCTCTAGAGAAACACTCATAGACTGAAACGAAACAAAACGCTACGTTCAACCCGTCCAGAGAATATATTTCACTTCACATCTTATTTAAATCCCCCAAAGAACTTGGAAAATAATGAGTCATCATCCCGCATGTCCGAAAAAGGATTCTGTCCACCTGGAATAGAAACAAAAATGTATTACATCAACTACTAATTTATTTTTTAACCATCAGTATCAGCAGCTACAGTATGTGTAGACGGACCTGGTATGACAGATCCAGTCTGATGGTCTGGTCCTTCCAGGCTACCGGGACCCCCTGACCGGGTCACTGTGATCTCCTCTTTGCCTTGGCTGTTTCTAACTGTTCGCCGCTCCTCTACAGTCTGACAGACATCAAAACAGAACCACAATTTAAGATATAAATAGTTAATTTGTAAATATTTTTAGGAGGTTTTCTCTAGCAATCATCATTTGTCAGACCCTGGCAGTACTACAGTCACGTTCCACCCACTGGGCTTAACCGGGTCCCTTCAACTGTCCATTAAACACAAAAGTACATCAGTGTATGAGTTATAATGAGACAAAATCAACTGTTTCTCTCACCCCGTCAGGTTTCATCACCTTGGTGACGGTGACTGACTGGAAGAATGATCGGGTCCTGGGTTGGTTCGGTTCCTGGCCAGCAGGTGGTGTCAGAATCTGATTCAGACCCTGAGAGGACACTGCAGAGTCCAGATCTGGAACGGATGGGAACGTGGAAATCAGCGGGGAACACAGGGCAAAATAATAGAGTTCATTTACTGAATAATTTAAAATATCACCTACCTCGGTCTTCTTTGCGCTCCTCCTCTGGACCTTTATGTTGCCCCTTTCTCAAAATATCATTAAACTATGAATGAAACATAAAAANNACACTTCATGATGCCACAGAAACAAAGTATTGATAGAAAACTAAGAGAAAACATCTTCTTTCACCTTTGAAAAAGGAGTCCAGCCATGGAACGGTGAGCTGGGAATCTCTGGCGACTCATAGGAAGGGTGGCCATCATTTCTGGGCTCTCTGGGTGGGCCTGCTTGGGGTCCTTGTGGATCGCTGTCTTGGGATTTGAGCATAAAATCTCTCAGGGGGTTTCCACTGGATCCCCTTTCGAACCTCTCTTCTCCGTCCCGAGGTGGTGGCATGATGCTGGGAACACCTACAACATACGGGACAGATTACCAACTGCTGGGCGTCCCCCTGTCAGGCTTACTGTGTGTGATCACTTCTACAGCCAACATGATGAGGCTCTCCTGGTAGGTGTGTCTTGTTCTATTACCTGATCTTGAGGTCCTGTGGCGAAGAGGGTCCCCTGAAAACCTGGTTTAAATCAATGCCACAAATAATAACTTCTAAGTCTAGAAAAGAGAGCCTGAACAGTACCGGTTTTCGTACCATCTTGTCCAGACCCTGGCTGTCCTTCCCAGCGGCCCAGCTGGGAGAAAATCTCCTCCATCTCCCTGAAGACGTGGCCAAAGACTGGAGGCTCCTGGATCCTCATCCCGTTGGGGCCAACGCTGAAGCCAAACCTCAAGGCACTGTCAAAGGGGTCCTGCTGGTCCCCCCGGAAGCCATCATAGTAGAATCCATCTTCTTGGTCATCATCGTCGTCATCATCATCGTCGTCGTCGTCATCACGAGTCATAGCATCAAAGAAGGGGTCCCTGTCACATGATTACAGTGAGATGTGAGTGTCACTGAACGTATATTGAGAATTAAATGGCGTTATGTCAAGTGGCAACTTAGTTACGTTAATAGACCTTAAAGTACTCAATCGTATTAATTCCGAGGTCACTCTAAGCCTAAATAAAACTGCCACCCTGCCAGCTGAGGGACCCCTGCGGTCAGCCTGGCGGAGAAACACTAATCTTGTGACTAAAGCCGTTTTCATTACCTAACCTAACTAACCCAACGGGCTGCGACGCAGTTAGCGAACTTCTCTTAGCTTAGCTCAGAGTCTGTGTGCGCAAACTCACCGTCGGCCACGATACTGGCCTCCAGGTACTCCGAAGAACCCGCGGAATAAATCAAAAACACTCATTTAATGACAGCTGCGGTGGAAAATTAAATCATAACTACACATAAAACGCACGAGCAGCAGGTGCCCACTTGATACAACGAAAGCCTCAGTTGTCAACAGTGTCGTAAAGTGTTCCAGATACTTCAGAATGACGCAACCAGTCGTAATGCTACTTTACCGTAAATAACAGAAAGAATGCGCAGCAGAAATTACCAGTTTTAATATTAAAACCATTGACAGTAATATATATATATATATTTATAAGATTGAAACGATGGTGTTTAACATTAGTGTGTTAAATAGGAGACGTTGAGAGGTTTAAACATGTTCCCTAGCAACGGCGTTCCATCTCCAAGCGTCTTTAACGTTCCAGAAGTTCCAGCTCACATTGTGTCAGTAAAAACCCAGCTAACAGGAGTGTGTGCACTATTACCAATGTAAGCTCATTTATGTGATAGCTAACTGTCTGTATTAGGTATTTATTACTATAGAAATATGCAGTAACCACCCTGAACTCTCACATGCACTGATTTCAACCACCCCCGGACTCTCTGCAGTCACTATTATACACTTAAAAACCTTACCTACTGTGCAATACCATACAATGTGCAATATCCCATACCATAATGTACAATATATATATATATATTTAACAATCTGTATAACATCACCAATATATTATTTTACAAATGTACATACTCAGACTGTCACCTATATCTTCCCCTTTTTTGCACTATTAACCTTTATGTCACTGTATGATACTTCTATTTTTAATTTCTTACTGTTTTTGCACTGCTAATTGGAGTTGGCTTTTAATCTTTCATTGTACATGAGTGTATAGGACAATAAAAAGGGCATTCTATTCTATTCTAAACACAGCCAATGGGAGTCTTTTTCGCCACATAGAGCTGATGTGTTTTCTTTACACCCTGTCAGCTGTTTGAATACCGATTAGTGGCCTGCAATGCTTTTTCACATCACAATCTAATGCATAAGCTACAACCCCTCATGAAGATACCATGTATGTTAGTCGGTTGTCAGGACCAGCAGCATGGCTCAATGTTGACACGACTACTGAGTATGTGAATATTTGGCTGTTCATTATTTCGGAAATGTAAATGGCAGCATTAAGTATTAAGGTGACATACTAGACATTCAGCTAGTCAGACCCGTTCAGCTCGCTGTCAGTCACATAAAAACAGGTGATTTAGATGCAAAGAGTGCATTCCAAAGCTTGTTAACAAACAAAAGGCAGATGTCTGGAGAAGTGCTGCGTTTGGAGTTTAAATTGGTAACGCTGATCCTCTGGAGTCTGTTAGATAACTCAGGTCTATAACAGAAACTAAACCTAAAGCCTCTGAGTCAGACCGTTTCAGTTGTGCCCAACACTTTGTGACAAGCTGCTTCTTGTCAATTCACTGTTCCACTGATATAAACTATCAGTGAATTAGTGTTGAGATGTAGCCATGAGATGAATTAAAGCCTTCAGCAACACACAAACACTGCACATCAGTCGAACTGTTGAAAGAAGGGATGCCGCTGTATTTACAAGCCACATGAGAAACAAATATAGTTTCTTAAAAGACATTCACATCCAAAATGATGAAAATGTCTTTTTCTTGTTTATTTACTTAATATTTATATATTTTTACAAAATAAAAAAAATATATGAAACAAAAAGCTAACAAGTCTGCAAGGATTTGAGAAGGGAAAGGAGAAAGCCATCGAACAAACAGGGACTACAGTACTTGTGTTTTTTTATATATGTACAAGACAAGTTTATCCATTTAAATTTTTTTTTTTTAAAACGCACAGTACAAAAAGAAAAAATAAATCACTGACAAAAAAAAAAAAAAAAACCCATAGTACAATTCTGTCCATCAGTATTCAATGTTGCAGGTTTCCTTATGATGGGGGACAGGTGGTGGAGCAGGGAGGAGGTGGGGGGGCCTCAGAAACAAAATAAAACACACTGGAAGGCAGACTGGGTGTGTATTGGCCTTGGAAATCATTCTCAAGATCTCTTGCAGAATAGGTGTGACCTTAATGCAACATATTTAGAATTCATGAGAACAGTTACTGTACAAGTGTTGGATAATGAAAAAATCCTGTGCTAGGCAGAAAACAAAGCACAGTACACAACCCACGGCCCTGTGTGTACAAACATGCACGCAGTCACATGACAAACACACTTTCCTCACAGTCCAAGCCAGTGAGCTTGCTTATATGTCTTTATATATAATATATCTATATTTGGTAAAAAATAAACTTCACAACTCTACCAATTTAGAGAATTGTTTCTTCAAACTTAAAACGACATAAAAATGAAAAAAAAAAAAAAACCTTAACAGCAATTAAGCAAATTATTGTGTTTGGGTATTTTGTGTGGGAGGGAAGAGTTTCCACCAAAATTAAGAGGTGGGGAGTTGAGGGTGAGAAATACAAAACCAGCCTGTCCCCCCACCTTCAGATATTACTTCATTCCTCCCCATCAGTAAGAAAAAAAAAAG